CACTGTTTAGCTGCTGGCCTTTTGGTTTCACAGAGTCATGGAACATTTGGGTTGGAGGGGACCTTTAAGGGCCACAGAGCTCAACCTGGGACATCTTCAACCACATCAGGTTGCTCAGAGTCCCATCCAGCCTAACCTTGAATGTTTCCAGGGCTGTGGCACCTACTACCTCTCTGGACAACGTGTGCAAGGGTTTTACTCATTGTAATTTACCTTCATTTAAAAGGAAATTTCTTCCTTTTACTTAGTCTGATGTTCCTCCCCCATATATCCTCCCCTGCTCACCAGCAGAGTCCTGCCCACCTGCTGCAGCTCCTGGCATTGGTCCATAACCATCTTCTACCAGCAGGTACTGGGGATTTGGAAAAGTCACACAGTGACATCTGCTCCAGATGTCCATTCTTCACCATGTCAAATTAGATTAAAACATCAACTTATTAATAAAGATGATACTGCAGAAGAATTTGAAGCCTGTGCCTCAGTTTTGCAGGCAACTTTGCTGCTGGCTTAGTAGAAAATGGCTTCTACCTCCCAGGAACACTGTCACAATTTCAGTATTTTTGGAAAGGAGACAAGGTTTTTTCACCCTTACAAATGGAATAAAATCACATATGTGCTAAGATGGGCCATGGCTGAAGGATATGCCTCTGAGACAGAAAGAGCCACGTTCACATGCCAAACCTGCTGTTAGGCAGGAGTGGGTGCTGAATGTCAGCATCCAAACTGCTAATCCAGACCCTGGGCTGCTCTTGGAGGTTTCCTGTCCTTGTTCCAACCTGGACTTGAAAACTATTTTCCACTAAAAATGGTAAATTGCCATGAAAAGAACCCTGTATGATAAATCACCCCATTCTGACAGAATACAATTCCTTGGAGATTTTCCAACCAGCTGTAACACTAACACCACTGGAAAGTCTTTAGGCGTTTCTGCCTGGCTGGAAACACCAGTTGTGTGGAAATCAATAGCAGATGTTACCCAGTGTGAGATCCACCAAAGTGAGTCCAAGAGCCCAGGAGTCTGTGCAGCAAAGAGAAATCAGCCCATGCCAAACCCACAGTATTGCAACCTCACTAATACACACACACCCTGGACACACCTCACACTCCTTGCTCCCAGACAATCCCTCCTGGCCAAACGAGTTACACTGGTGTTTATTATCCAATACCTTTTCCATTTTCTGGCACTGGCTAGGCTGGAGAGATAAGCTGCGAGCAAGCATGGCTCACTTCTCTGCTGAACAGGAGCTGCTCCCTGACCAAGGGAGGGACAGAGCTGCTGACGGAGCTCCATGCAAGGTGAGCAGCTTCAAAATGTGCAGTATGACCCAGAGGGCTGTCCTGCAGGGCTACTGAGTCCCTCCGCCTTTATGGGTGCCCAGCCCCAAGGTGGATGCAGCAGAGACAAGGGGCACCTCGAGGTGCAGAGACCCCTGTGTCAGAGCTCGGGGTGATCTGGTTAAGGCAGGGACACCTTCCACTAGACCCCCTTGATCAAAGCTCCATCCAACCTGCCAACTTGACCTTGACCATTTCCAGTGATGGGGCATCCACAGCTTCTCCAGGCAACCTGTACCAGTGCCTCACCAGTCCCTGCAGACTTGAGACAGATACACTCAGCTGCAGGGGTTCATCTGCCCAAAGAGAGGTACCTGCAAAATGGAGGTGCCAGCATCTGGTTTACTCACCACAGGACCTCCATACCTTCAGTGGAATATAATTACCCCTGTTAGAGAAGGTAAGGAAGTTGTGACAAAGCCAGTCCAGGGACCAGCACTGCACAAGAGGGAGTTTCTCCCTGTGAGCTGAGAAGAACTGTGCTGCTGTGCTGTGATTTCTGTATGAAACTGGCTATCATGCTGCACTCCAGGTGCATCTCACCGCATCTCTCAAGAATAAAACAATCCCCTCTCCTGGCACACACACTGTCATACTGCCTGCAACACCTCAGCTTTTACCCACTTATTCTGCAGTTTAATTAATTGCTTTGAGAGAGGAAAGGTGTTCAAAAAGCGCAAAAGAGCCATTAATATCAGATGGCAAGCTGTTACAAGGAAAAACTGTGCTGCTGCTGTTTTCTTGATTAGTCAGGACACCCTAGGTTGTTATCTCATTTGCATTTCTCTGACAGAAAATGATACCAGCCCCTCTTAGGAAAAGTCATTTTATTTTGTTGAAGCCATACGTTTCCAAGGATAGAGTAAAGCTCAGGAGCCATAAATCATGCCTAGATAAGAAGAATCTCAAACAGTGGTTTTTTGCAGGATGTTGCTTGTTCTGTGATAATTGCTCGATGCTCAAGGCAGATTTCCCACTGCCTGCTCAGACACGCAGCACAGAAGAGAAATGCCCCATGCCAGTTACTGTTCTTACCATTTGAAATCTGAGCATGTTAAGACAATTTTTATAATACTGTTGCACCTCTGCCCAAATCCTGTACAGCTGCAGCGCCCCGGATTTCAAGGACTGTCCGCTTGCTGTCAGCAGCCATGGCTGCAGCAGAGACAAGCTGGCCTGAGCTAGGTGGGGTAGCAATGGTGGTGGCAAACTGACAGCGCAGACCTCCTGAGGTGCCTCAGCTCTGCTGCTTGTCAGCCCACGAGCCCCCATGTCACTGTGACTGCAGAGCTGCCCTGGAGATGCTGGTGAACCTGGGATGCAGGGGCTACTGGGCTCAGGTGCAGGGAAGAGCCCCAGGAAGTGCATGGCTGGCTGCTGTGCAGTGCCATGCAGCTAAAATGGGCCAGAAACAAGGTCACACAGAAGGTGCAAGACAGCTGTGGGGGGCAGCTCCCCCTTCTCCCCAGTGCTTGGGCTGCAATTGAGAGCTGTCACCATCACACCTGCCTTCAGAGGCTGCTGGGGATCCTGTCACCCCACCCTAGCATCCCCTGGGGCTTGAGCTGGCTTCTTTCCTGCCTTCACAGCTGCCATGTAGCTGTTGAGGAGCACCAGGGTTAAGACAGGGTCTCATGAAGGAGTGGGAAATCAGCTCCACATCTGTCTTGACAGCAGACCAGGCATGTTTGAGTGGGCAGACATGCAAAGTTCAGTTTGGAGAGCATCCACTGGCTGCTCTCTGCCTGTTAGGAGCCATGACCTTGCACCCAACATACCTATATCAAAACGCCACTGACTTTACCCAACTGCAACCCATACTGGCACCCAAAAGCTGCTTTTCCTTCTGAACAAAGCCAGTTCTGCTTGCAGACAGCCTCTCTTTCTCCACCAAACAGCAGCAGCCCAGGAAGGGCAAGGCAAGGAGTCATCCTCTCTTTCCACTCATGCCACTGCTTCCCCACTTCATCACCACTGCTGACATCCCCAGCTTTGCCATCTGCATCACTGCTGAACAGGGTGCCACCTGGCCAGGTGTGCTGGGCTGGGATGTGCACACACATCTGGTTGCACTGAACACAGCCCCTGAGATAAAGAAACAGCTCTGTCCCATCATGAACCAAATCTCCTTTTCCCTCTGAATCCATCCATACCAGCTCAGCCTTGCTGCATGATGCAGAGAGGCAAAGCTGCCATCTTAGTAACCGAGCTCTCTTCAACCCAGGGCAGGCCACCACCAACACAGCACCACTGGGATGGCAGCACCTGCTTGCTCACTCCTGGGACTCATTATGGGATGCTACAGTAGATTAGGGTCCACACCAAGCTGGCACTGGAGGGAGAGACACAGATGGGTGTGAAAGGAAGGAACCATGCATGTAGGACTCCCAAACACCTCGTGGAGTCCCACCAAAGTAAATGCTGCTGAGACGGGAAGCTCCCTCCTGTGGGCAACTGCACCAAGAGATCCAAAGCCCCTTGCTGAGCCCCAGGGAAGGGCAGCACTCCTGTGCCCTTCTCCAGCAGTGGCAGATGTCTCTGTGCCCCTCATCTGGCTGCAAACACTTGCTGGTCCCCTGAAAAGCCCTGACATGTGCCCCAGCTCCAATTTCACAGATGTGGGGGGACATGACTCATGCAGAGTGAGCAGAGAGGATGTGCAGTGCAGAAGAGGAGTTGGCTCTGCCTCTGACATTAAGGTGTCTCTTTGTGTGTGGATCTGCACCCAGCAAAACAAGCGCTGCAGCCCGGGATCCCTCCTGCCTCTCCTCCCACCTGATAGTCCATAGTCCCCTGCGTGCTCCGGGAGCAGTCAGCTCTCAGGGGAGACAAGGCAGTTTGCAACAGATTTGAATCCAAAAGTGTGGCTCCCGGATCTGCTGGGCATTGGAGCAGACACGAGGGCTTCAGGGCTAAGGTATTTGTGGGTTTAGACCTTCAGAGAACACCACATCTTGAAGATTCAGGGCTCAGACCTTCCGTGGTCACCAGACAGCAAGGAAGGCTTGGAGGAAGACAACCTTGATATTGGTATAGAGCTAAGGAAAAATGCTTTCCCACCATGCAAAAAAAAAAAAAAAAAAAACGGGAAGTAGGTCTTTCCTTGCAGCAAGATCCATGCAATTTCAGATGTCTGGAAAGGCCTGAAGACTGTGAGATATACCCAGCTGCCTCCCCTCCACAAGTGGGACACCAGAGAAATGAGCAATGCAGTCAATATCAGGACCTTGCCTCTATTTCACTCTGCTCCCTGCTGTTTCCCACCCCCAAGTCCTTGCACTCTTGCCTGCCTCTCCTTCCATCAAGTCCCAGCAACCCCCTGTAACTCATGTCCCCCCCTAACGACCACCACCTGCTCCTTGGAAGGGCTGCAGAGCTCACTGCCACTGCATAAGTCTCAGTGTCATCACAGCCAGAAAAAAATTACCTCATACCACATTTAGTGTGCATTTCCCAGAGGAAGCCTCTTGACACCTGCAAATCACAGAAACTTAGTGGCCCGCACCAATAAAACCCGAACATTTGACAGCAGACAGAACTCTAGTTACAGTGGTGGCGGCCCCGAGCGACACCGCCTTGGCCCTCCTTGTAATTCCCCAGTCAGTTCATTATTATTAATGTCACTACAATAAATACCAGAATGAAATTGACAGCATTTGGCCGTGTATCTTAAAGCATTGCCCCGTTCCTCCTTTATTCCATGTATCTGCAGCCTTGGTTTCTGTTCCTCTCAGTCGCCAGAAGAGCCTTTAGGCACAAACGGTTTGAGGATGTACCAAGCCAGGTAACAAGAGCCATGCAGAACCGTGGCCATGGCATCGATGACCAGCAAGAAGGTGCCCAGGATCCCGGTGGCCATGTCCTGAAGGACAGAGGGAATGGCACAGATGGAGTGGTAAGGGAAAGCAGCAAGGTGAAGGATGAATTCCACGGGGATGCTCAGGATCCCGTAGGTGAGGGACATCGCATCTTGAACAATTTGCAGGAAGCCCAGGAAGATGTTGACAATGACCCTCCCAACATCATAGGGGATGCTGATGAGCACCATGCTGATGGCTTTAAGGTAGGACACCATCTCATTCCACAGGCTGCAGACTCCACCCAGAATTGTGCCAACAACTTGCTTTACAACAAGCCACAGAAAGTAAAACACAAATTTCACCAGTTCCACAAAGATGTAGATGAGGAGTTCCAGAAGTTTGATGAAAGGGGTAGAAATTATGCCAGCCACTGTTCTCACCAAGCCATTCTCTTTGGTCTCCTGGTCGTTTTTTGTTCCTACTTGCTCTCCAGAGCGGATCTGACTGACAGCTTGCAGTACTGCTTCTCTTTTCTCCTGGCTTTGTTTGCCTTTCCCACAGTTGCCCTTGAACAAGCGGGCTCCTCGGAGAAGCTGCTTCTCCAGGTCTCTCACCGTGAGGTCTGCCAAGCTGTTTTCATCATTGGTTTTTTTCACTAGTCCCAAGGACCATCCCTCTGAAGCATCACAGCAGGCTGCCAGCCAGAGGCTCTCTGGCACTGACACCTTGTCTTTAACTTTGATACTGGAAGGAACCGCACCTGCAAGGAGGTATAGATGATCCATCTCGGAACAGTGAGGGACCAGAGCTTGCTCCACTACCTTCCCAATGTCTCTGTGCCAGCTTTTGCTCAGAGCCGGGCTCAGAGGGACGGCATTCGTGAGTGTGTAAGTGGCCACCTGGAAATCCTTCTCATTGAGCAAACTGGGATTGAGAAGGCCTCTCTCGTAGCCAGAGCCCACGTAGTCTGAGGTCAGGGCTTGGTTTGCACCAAGGTTGGCCACAGTGCCACGAATATCAGCTTCACGCACCATTTCATGCAAGTCATTTTCTGGATCATCTATCTGAAAGAGTAGGGAGAAGCGTTACTGCATGCAATTCGCCTTCCTAGAAAACAACGTGTAAAATGAGCCCTGACATAGCACTACTAGTACATGCCATGCCTTGGATTATATCCTGCATCCTGTCATTACTTTCCTTGAAGTGCTTCAGAGGAGTGTATTCTCTACTCAGCTTCTCAGCCAAACACATTGGGTTAGGCTCCAAAGAATATTTGCAGCTCTCAGCCTGGTATATAGCATAGCACAGCCTTCAAAGTCTCACCAGGCACCACATACCAAGCCTCTGACTTGTAATTTGTCCTGGAAGAGATTTTAAGACCAATAGATGGCTAGATTTAGCCATCTATAGTCACACTTCCTACTGTGGTTGTACCTGCAGTTCAATTAAGAACTTAACCATGGTTTTACTTAAGACCCTCTGAACTATCAAATCCAAGTCATGGGGAAAGAAAAACAAAACAAAACAAAAAAAACCCCAAACAAAACAAAAAACAAAAACCAAACAAGCCATGGTGTATAAGATGTCTACAGAAGGCATTTACCTCTCATTGCTTATTGTGTAAGAAGCAAGAATGAAGCAAGTTCATGTCAGATGACCTGAACTGCCCCACCTTGAACAGGAGACACAGCAGTGAGCTCCCAGGGCTGTTGGAGGGCTGGTCATCAGTAACCTGATCCTCATGTCATTAACAGTCTGAACCTCATCCTTAATGACCACCTGGCACAACATGGGTGAGGGTGCCATCACCCAAGGCCCTCGATGGAATCTGTGCTCCCTGCTTGTGTCTGCGGCTCCCAAGCAGCGGAGCCAGAGGTAGCAATTACTGCAGTGGGAATTTGTCCTGGAGCCACGCGCCAGGGAAGGGAGCGGGCAGGGGAGGCAAAGAGCAGTGGGAGGAGAAGCACTAAATGCCAGGGTGTGTTCAGGTCCTTCTCAGGTGACCACAGCTCTGTCTGATCCATAGTCATTCCTACTGACACTGCTGCAGCCGCTCCAGAGGGCTGTGCCAAATTGTCATTTTGTTCCTCAGATTATTAGAGGGTGAACACGTTGCTAGAAGCTCAGGGGTGGCAGATGATCTCTGGCAGCCACTGCCTTCTGTAGTCTCTGTTTCAGAGGGTGTGGCCCTCAGGTTCCCCACACTGTGCTGGCCCAATTAAACCTTCTGCCTTTGCCGCTGGCCCATAAATTGTTTACTGCACTATATAATGTGCACTTTGGAGACACTATGACAGACAGCTCATAGTCAACCTTGAATCACTGCCAGGTCATTCATCCTTGTCTCCTGACCACCCTGCAGTGCCCTTGGACAGATACCCAACTATGTCCTTGCAACCTTACACAGAGTTTGCATCCTCTTAGTGGCACATCACCTCCTCACAGCTCTGCACAGGCCTGTCAGGGGGAAAGGGCCAGTGTCAGCAGCTGTCCATCACCCTCACCTGGGAGCTAAGCTCTGGCTGGCCTCCTGAACCAGCCAAACCCCTGCAGTCTAGGCACAGGGCTCCCTCTGCACCAAGCCTGGTCACAGTGCCAAGCCTGGCCATTGCAGAGGGCTGCATTACCCCACCTCCTGCAAAGGAGGCTTCTCGCTTTTTTTTTTTTGAAGTATCTGGTGCTTATTGCTTTGGGACTGGGAGGATCATGGTGAGTCCCATGTGCTGAAGCACAAGTCACAGCTTTTTCTAAATGCACCACTTAAAAAGACTTATTCTGCACTTTTGCTGCCTTATTCTGCTCCTCTTTCTCAGTGACCCCAAACAACAGGCTGCAGCTGGCTGATGAGGCCAGACATTTTGCATTCCACTGTCTCTTCCTGCCCCCCCTTCCCTTGCCATTCTCCCCTTCTGATGAGATGATGGTGTGCCATGGGACAAGGGATGCACCCAGTGTGTTTAATAGCACAGAAGACGTGAGGGAGATTGGGCACAGATGTGAGGCTGTGTCCAGGAACTGTCCTCAGTGCTATGATCCTTTGGAGTTTGACATCCTCTCAGAGACACTCATCCCATCTCACCCCCATGGTGAGTGCTGCCAATCTACAAGGACACACAGACCTAAAATGGATTACCTCTGCCTCCTGGCAGGAATTACCAACCTACATGAAGCAAAACAAACTCTCCCTATGAGCTGCTGCATGCAAACCTTGAAGATCCTATCAAGAAAATATGTCCCATTGCAGGCCTTTGCACCTATCATCAAGATTGTTTGGGTGCAATTAAAATAGAATATGACAAAAATACAGCTGTGTGCTGCTCATGTGTCAGGCTCTGACATCACCTAATTATGCTTATAATAATCCTATTATGGTTTGTCATAACTAATGTGCACCTGAGGTTTCCACGCCTCCTCCAGCTCAGTCCCAAAGGCAGGCTGTCTCAGCACTGCATCTAATCTGCATTGCAAGATACCTTCGCTCCCTCCTTCAAAAAGCTTCTGGCTTGTGTCACCCCAAAACATACCTGTGTTCATGGAGTCAGCCATGAAGACACCTGTCCAAACAACCTGGAAGAGCTCAGGGCAAAACCCAAGCAGACAGATAAACTCCCTGTCACAGAATGGGGGTTTAAAAATAACTAATGTGCCTGCAGCCTGTATGGATGTTAGCACATAACAATATTGATGTGTGTCACTAAGTGGAGGGCGCAGTTTGACAGAAGGGACAGAGGCGGAGGGGGATTAGAAGCATGGCACCACACAGTTATTAGGGCAGGCAGCTTCCACTGAGTTTGGTCATTTAACAAGGCAGGACGCTGCCACCCCCCACCTTCCCCACCCTGCTATGCAGGATCCCTGAACTTCAGCTTCCCTCTCCCACCACCACTTCCTCAGGCACCTTTGCACCTTTGATTGAAGTGGAAATGTTGGATCCAACCTTAGCCGGGATTCATACCTCAGGGAGGAGGCACACTGCACCTTACACTGAAGTTTCTGCAGTAGGACATTCACCAGGGGCTCTAGAAGCGCCTGTTCTCTTGACTCTCTACCAAGAGAGATTGCAGGAGCAGCTCAGAGGTAGCTGCACTAGAGCTGGGCAAGAATCCCACCTTGGTTGTCTGCCTGGTGGTGGCCATTAACCAAATGAATACACAAGGTAATTCATCCAGCCCCTCATAAATTAGGATGGAAAAAGCAACTCCAGAGTTTTCTGTCTCTCTCTAAGCTACAGAAAGAATCAGAGATTTTCAGACAACCAAAATGGAGTGAGGTAAAAGACACCTGAGTGACTTGCTCACAACCCCTAGGAAATCTGTGGCAGAGCATATTTTCAGACCTGTGCCTGGGGGAGTCCCATCAGTACCCTGCTCATCAGCCTATCCTTCCTGCTCTCTAATTTTTCACTAATTGCTGAATTAATTCATTGTTTCCAGCTGCCAGTCTGCAGTGGGTGGCACTGACATTCCTCACACTTCTCACCCAATTACTGCCTCTGTGCTACATTTGGCATTTGTTTCTCTGGCAGACATTCCTGAGGAGGGAGTGAGATGGTGCCCTCACCGCTTACATCATTATCCCAAAAAACGCATATGACAACTCTGAGGCCCTCACTGGAGTGCTGAGAGTGTTTTTATAGTGATTTCTTTCTGTTTGCTGTGTGTCTGCATCTCCATGAGCAAGCACATGGCACTGTGCAGCTGAGCCAGCCCCTACCCAGCCATGCCTGTCTTGGCAAGGAAATTACCCAGGAAATCAGTGATAGGAGCTCACTGGGCCGTGCTGCAGAGCAGGTGCTGCTAAGGGACATCTGCATTTCAGGTCTGGACGAAGGAGACCCATTAGTGTTGACTATGAACTACTGTCATCCTGTGAGGCTGCTCTGGAGAAGCCAGACCAAATAAAGGCAGCACCTACCCTATAATTTCTGAGGCCATAGGTGGCTTTGGTGACAGGACACACAAGGTTTGGGACTCTGGAGTGCTGGCAGGAGTCAAGACAAGATGAGGGGTCAAAAAGATGGAGCAGGAAGGGCAGAGAAGCAGCTCAAGGGGGACCAAAGTTACAGGGTGATGGGGGACCTGGCCACTGCTCCCTGGCAGAAGCAGCTCCTGAGCCTACCTAGGTGGGCTGGGAGAGCTGGACCACAAGAAGCAGGAGCAGATGTGGGCGCTAGAGGTGATGAAGGGTGCCACAGGCCAAGGTAAATGGGAAAGGATCGCATCTCTGCTGCTTTACCTTGCTGCCTCCATGGCACTGCCCAAAGATTCTGCCAGCCTTGGTTCCCTTTGTGCTTTAAAAATTTGCCACCCTTCCACAACTCAATAATGACAGATTCTGCAAAAAGTTTGCTCTGTTTTAAAAGGGCAAGCTCCCACAGCTTACCTGTGAAGTGGAAGGAGCTTAAACCAAAACGCTCTTAGAAACTCCTTTAACTCAAAACCCAGCCCAGAGAGACAGAAGACAGTCCAGGCTAAGATAACCACTTAATATCTCCTGTCTTCAATGCCTGTGGTCTTGTGGCCTCAGTATCTCATCCCCACACATGAGAAAAATAAGCACAGCATCCTCCTGGGAGAGGGGTGAGCTGCCACTGGATGGTGGCAACATCCAGCAGCTGAAGGCCACACTCCCAACACACTGCTCTGACTCTGCAGCCACTCCTGCCCTAACAAAGCACATTGCACACTGATAATCTCTACTGAGCTCAACAGATGGGGTAGCCTAATGTTGCTACAATATTCGTCATTATCACTGCTGAAAAATCTAAAACATGGGGGGGAGGGGGAGAGAAGAGCTAAAATTTTCTTACAGAACCACCAGTTTTTAAAGGATTTCCATTAAATTGAACAGCCCGAAGGCCTTGCTAAACATGCCAAGTGACAGGGGAGACAAAAATCATCGAGGCTCTGGAAAAATTCATTTGATACTGCATATTTCTGACCTGACTGTAACCTGCACGCCCCACAACACAGCAACTCATTTTCCTTCCTCAGTCTGCAACACTGGGACACACTGAAAAGCTGCAGCATCAACTTGGTGAACCACAAATGGATGCTTTATCTCTGCTCAGTGAAGCTAAAGAGTCCCTATCAACACTGTGATCATACTGGCAGCAGAACAAACTTGAACTTGACACTGCGATGTTTAACCCACCAGCAGCTCCCTGCCCACAAGAGCTGGCTGGGCAGGACAAACACATCACGGGTGTCAGAGAGGGCTTTCCTCTCCTCTGGCACTGCACTTTCATGCAGCAGCCTCTCCGTTTTCATTACAAGCTCCCTGGGACAAGAAACTATTTGTTTGCTCAGTTCCAAGCACAAAAATAAGTTCTGCTCATGCTAGATTCATACCAACACAAGTTCAATAAGCAGAGTTCCTGCCTCCTCAGCCAAATTCTAGCCCCAGCTTCACCCCAGAGGAAACGTTCTCCAGGAAGAGTCGCTTTTCAGCAAAGGAAAAGCTGCCTTACCTGCGGTTCAACCAGCCACTTCTCCTTCCCACTTCGAGCTGACTTTGTAAACTTAAAAGCCGAATAAAGAGGGATTTTGTCCTTAGTACTGTAGAGGGTTGCAAAGCGTGGCTCTTTGTTGTACTGCTGACAGATTTTCACATGGAACGGCTGCGTAAATCCTTCGGGTGGGACTTGTCCAGAGAAGAACACGTTACACTCCGCAAAACCAGCTTCGTCCTTCCTAACAACTCTGCCCTGGGAAAAGCCTGGGAAAAGCGAGATGCAAAGCAAGAGCGCAATTGACGTCTTCATGGTGCAGTCCCTGGAGCCGAGGGGAGCGCCGTGTGCCATAGCGGGGTACGGCCAGGGCCCTGCGCGCAGAGTCCATGCAGCAGCGCGGCCGGGGAGCGTCTGCAGCCGGGGTGTGCGGGGAATGCAACCCGAAACCGCGGCCGGTGCCCGGGGCGGCAGCGCGTTCTGCGGGCGGCGCGTTGGACACGGAACGTGCGCGAGGCGCTCCGACACACGCCGCGCACGCACGGACGGACGGACGGACGGACGGACGGACGGAGGGCGCTGCCCGCGGGACGGGATGCCCGGCAACCCGCGGTCACCGGCGCTGCTCCCGGGCAACGGGAGCGGCAGCAGGGACGGCCGTGGCAGCGGCAGGGCTGGGGCCGAGCAGCAGCGCCGGCTGTCCGGGCTGGGGGTGTGGTGTGCTGCATTGCAGCAGTCCCCGGCAGGAATTTTGGCTGACACAGCCAGAAATGTTCCTGAGGCTGACAGAGGGGATGCTGCAAAGTCAGATTCCACCACCCCAAAGAAGGTATTAGCCGTCCTCTCTCCGGCTGTGAGGCTGGCCAAAGGAGAGGGAGAGATAGAAGAGAGGTGGCAACATTGGAGCTGCAGGGAGCCCCCTTTGTCCCTTTTTGGGGTGTCTGTCATCACTATTGCTGCCAGCCAAATGCTGCTTAGATGCTTGGGAAAGGCATTCAGCTTCCATCTCTCCTGGCGCTGTTTGGGGAATTCAGAACCCTCCCTCATCACCTCATCTTGGGAGACCCTCTCTCAGAGGAGATTAACAACAGGCAGAAGGATGAGGACCCTCAGATCAGGTACCCCTAATCAGCATCCACCACAGAACATTTTGGTCAAACCTATGGAACTGGCAAAAAAAAAAGGAAATGAAGCTGCTCCCCTGAGTTTATGTTCAGTAGAGTAACCATCTCCCCAATAAGCAGCTGCCTATGATACCTTGGCCACTGCTGGGTAAAAGCAGCATTCCTTCAGTGACTGGGAAAATGATGTTTTCAAAATAATGGAGATGGAAAGGGGATTACAGAGCAGTACTTTGGAGTCAAGAAAAGGTAGCATTTTCCCACCCAAGAAGTGAGATGCCATCAGCTGTGTTGCCAACAATTTTTAAAAATCCTTGATGCCAATAGGACACAAGTCCCTTTTGTAATACAATTTCCAAGCAAAAAAAACCTCCCAAGTGCTACCATCCCACAAGTAGCTTGCAGACAAGGTAGGATTATGTCCATACTGAAAATGATGAGGGGGAACAGTAAATGGTTAAAGGTGGTGAGCCTGCCCAAGGGCAGAGAAGGAGCCTGTGAAAGGCTAAAAATAGACCACACTGTATGACTATCATTCCTCTGCTCAGGGATGACTTCTGGAAGTACCAAGACAAGGAAATACGTCAACGCCTCTTGGTGTGGTGATATCAGCTAGGGGAGGCAGCCTGGACAGGCTGGGGAACAACAGGAAATGTAGTAAGTGGGCTTGGGTTTGGTCCAGGCAGATGACTGGTCACCCAGCCCTGCCAGAAAGAGTTAGTCATGTTCAGGAAAGGTGATGGAAAGGAAAGAACAGACATAAAATTTCATTTTCCTGGATGTAAAAAGGCTCCTGGAAAATCAAGAACTGAAGCTGAACCTTTGCTGTTAGGAGCTTTTCTGATCCCAGACTTGCAATTGCCTGGGCAGAAGAAGAAAATATTTTCATAAGCCTGGTAAGCTCTACTACCAGGCAAAGCTAGGTCAGACAATGAATTTGAACACCCCACTTCAAGGCTGGCATGCATTACCTCAGGATGGGCATGGTCCCAGTCCAATGAAAAAGCAGCATGAGGTGCCTCAAAATGTGCAAGACAGCAGGCACTAGCTGAACAGATCAATGATTCCCACCAGGAAACATCCTGCCTCTGTCCTACACCTGTGAATCAACCCCTTGCCTCAAAGCAGCAACTCTGACTCATCAGATGTGCAGCCCCAAGTTGTCTTCTGAGCCTAAAGGGCTTTTATGGGCTTTTGGGAAACTCTGAGGAGTTCTTTCCTTTCAGGGTGTGAGGCTGGGGTCTGTCTGCCAATTCAGCTCTGCATTTACCAGCAAACAGCTAAATCTGACTCATCCTGAAGAGCAGGAGCTTCAGGTTCTCACCTCCCATGAAGAGCATCAGTTGAAAGCCAGCATGGATTTCCACTCCTCTGCTCCCAGTTTGATTTGCTGTCCAAACGAGGTGCCTGTCCAGTTTCTATCTCATTTAAGATAGCTGTTGTGATCCTTGAACACAGAGCTGATGTTAGCTCTTGCTAACATCACTACTACTAAAGGGACTCGTGCCACCATCGTGCTGTGTCACTCACCATGCTGAAAAGATAAAGACAAAAGGACTGCCCTGCCCTAGGAAGGTTACATTCTCAGCCAAGGCACCACAGACAGAGGGCTCAAACACAGAGAAATGGAGTTGGCCAGAGGTTTTGATGAGCTGGTGCTGCAGTAGCTTATCTGCTATCAGACACTTTTATAGGCATCATAGGGAGTGATGCCTATAGGCTGTGATAGCGGTGATGCCTGTAGGAGCTGATGCCAGAAGGAATGTTAAGATCAGATTCAAAACAGCCCTAAGGCTGTTGATGTGAGCAGAAGGACTCTGGCAAAATACACATTGGGTTGGCAATGGGCAGTGTGAGCTGGTGGTGTCAGCATGAACTGTGGAAGCAGTGTGGCCCTGGGACCTGGGGCTGCCTTCTCCAAACCCATCAAGGAGTGACAGTGCAATAAGCTGAGCAGTGCCAACAGTGCAGGCAAGAACCTGATGTTTCATGTGATGGAGCAGAGGGAACCCAGGGAGGATGCAGAGTGATGTGGCCAAAGGGACATGTGAGAAAAGTGATCGTGGAATCGCAGAGTATCCCCAGTTGGAAGGGACCCACAAGGACCATTGAGTCCAGCTCCTGGCCCTGCACAGGACACCCCAAGAGTCACACCATGTGCCAGAGAGCATTGTCCAAATGCTTCTTGAACTCTGTCAGGCTGGTGCTGTGACCATTTCCCTGTGGAGCCAGTTCCAGTGTCCAACCACCCTCTGGGTGAAGAACCTTTTCCTGATATCCAACCTAAACCTCCCCTGACACAGCTTCAGGCCATTCCCTTGAGTTATGTCACTGGTCACCAGAGAGAAGAGATTAGTGCCTGCCCCTCCTCTTCCCCTCATGAGGAAGCTGATCACTCAGTGGCAGACAGAGGCTGTGGGAGACAAGAGAAGCTGTAGACAACAAACTGTATAGACACAGAGTTTGCAAGACATGACACAGGTAGAGTGTTTGGGAAAATTAAGAGAGGCTGGAGAGAAGGAAGGGAAGAAAAGAGGTAAGGATCCAAAAAATGGCATTGACCAGCAGGAAAAGGAAGATATTGGGCAAAAATTAGAATGGAGGAGGATCTGCATTCCTGAAAATCTAGGGTGCTAAGAAAAGGTGAAGAAGGAAAACAAATGGAAATAGGTGTGAGGAAACCCAGGAGGCGGGTTCTGACAGGTCAAGTGAGAAGATGAGAGAAATCCGAGGAAAGTCTCTTGTGATAAGAAAATGAGGAGAAAATATGAGGAGGAATAGGGGGAAAGGAAAATGAAAGGTTTACATCCATCTTCATTGACCTGCCATAGATGAGCAGTTTTTCTCCAAGGGTCAAGAGCAGGACCAAGAACAAGCATCAAGAACAATGTCTCAAAAGAAGAATACCTCCCTGCAAAACAAACCTGAAAAGCGTGTCAGCATCCAAACTCTCTAGCCATTAAGAAGCTGCCAGGCTTGTCTGTCTGCTTTCCCACACTGCTTCTCCAGCCCTGTCTCTGTTCACACGACTGACACTGGATTTGCTACAAATAGAAAATCTATCCCCTCACATGCTTGACCCCTCTACCCTAGCCTTTCAAAACATTCTTGACTCCAAATATTTTTCCAGGCTGGATCTCCAGTCTCCTATCATGGCCTCTGTGAGACTCAAGTGTTGTATGTGACTGAGAAGAAAAGGAAGAAGACAGTGTCTCCAAGGGCAAGCAGTCTCATCAGAGAGACACCATTTGTTTCAGTAGGCATGCCAAGCTTGGACTTGGAGCACAGCAGTGCCAGCAGACACGCCATGGCATGTCAGAGAGCACATCTGCCTCCTCACTGTCTCATGGGGAAACAGTCTCTTTTAAAAATCAGTTTTAAAACTTGCTCTGGGAAGGGAGCCCAGTGCTGAGCTACAGGGAAAAGCAAGAGGGAAACAATTTTCCTATTGTAACTAAGAGATTCAAGGGCAAGGGGAGGGGGTGGGCAGAAGGACAACGAACTCTAGGGAAGAGCTTAAAAACACATTTTTTGGGATTTTGAGTCCCACCTAAAATGAGGTTTTAATGCCAATCTCTGCTGCCTTTTGTCTTCCCACCTTCCCCACGGTGTCCCTGGTGCTGGTGAGGAATGGCCCTCCACTGGCAGTGCCGCTTTGTTGCTCAGCTCTGCCATGATGCTCACTAGCAAGGGTGCCCTCGGAGAGGCCACGAATGCCTCAGACTGCCAAGGATGCTGATCTGGCTCCTCTGCTTCTTCACTTGCATTTTCTCCTGTCCAGACTCAGTGTCCACCCACAGCAGACAGTGGATGCCCTGAAGTGGTGTCACAGTTGAATTCAGAAGAGAAAAAGAGCATGAAGTTTTAAACAAAACATTATAGAGGAGGTTGTCCATGGTGCACAATCAGAGGAAAAGGTGACAACTGGGAAGAGTGAAACACCCACATTTGTCTATGGATGGTAACACCATTAGGAAAGAGACATTCTCATTTTGTACAAAAACTTGCACAGTGGAAGTCTGACAGGCACCTTGTAAAGTATAAATGAACCATGCATCATGACGTATAAATGCATTGCATAAATACTGAATAAAATTAATAAAATCCAAATGCTGCTTCCTTTGGCATTTTATCACAGTCTTCATACCCAAGAGATCTCTGTTAATCTTCAGACTGTCTAAAAGAAGCACAATGACAATCCCATGCTAGACAGCAAAAGCAGGATGGATGTAGATTAGCAGTATAAGGCAATGTTTTTAATAGTGCAAATGATTATCTGTCAAAATGAGCTATTTAGAGATCTGCTGAAAGCTGCAGTATGTCCATTCTTTAAATTAGGAGGTGCTTTTTAACATGAT